ACTCTATGGCAAAAATCTTTTTTTTTTTTTTTAGAGGTTTTTCACTATAGGGTGCGTGTGCTTGCCAAACAGACAGAGAGAGACATAGAGATAGAAAGCGAGAAATCACCCCCCAGGGGGGATGGTCATGCCGCAATCCCTTCTCCTCCATTCTCCTCTCGGGATCTTGAGCACGCATGCACACACGCCCGGCGTGAGTTTTAAGCCATCGGGTCCAGGACGCAAACCACGGTCGACTATGTGGGAGTCCAGCGACATAGTCATTACACTAACTGCTGGTTCCTCTATGGCAAAAATCTTAAAAACGAACAAAAATCCTCTTTTTTTTTTCTTTTTTTAGAGGTTTTTGCTATAGGGCGCATGTGCTCATCGGAAAGACAGAGAGACATAGAGAGATAGAAAGTGAGAAATCACCCCCTGGGGGGATGGCCACGCCGCAATCCCTGTTCCTCCATTCTTCTCTCAGGATCTTGGGCACACACGCACACGTGCCTGGCTTAAGTTTAAGCTTGCTGGGTCTGGGACTTGAACTGCGGTCCACTACATGGGAGTCCAGTGACACAGCCATTACGCTAACTGCTGGTCCCATCTCTAACTTTTTCTAACTCTCCTCTCACTTGGGTCTTGTTTTGACCAATAAGTGCCCCGTTTTTCATCTCTCCAGCAATCGTAGATATTGCTGTCATTGCCCACTTCAAGTACAGCCCACTAAAAGATGGTCAAGGAGACTGTAACTCGTATCGACAACAGAAGTTAATGAGAGAAAACGCACAACAAAGCAAGCACAGATTCTTTCTTCTATTTCTCTGGGAGTCAGGAGTGACCTCTCATTTTGCATTTCTACTCTGTTTTCGAGTTTAGAAACTGTAAGCTATTGGCTACACTAGATAGTTTAGAGGAAGATCATTCTAGTGCGTGGTAAAGCTAACTGACGACATACGAGTCCCTCACTGCAAATCGCTCATCATCCGACAGCACCCCACATCTGGCTCAGCCACAGTACACACAGGGAGTACCACTGCTTGGGAGGCTGGAAGCCACATGAGAGACCTAAGATCTGTTCCCAGGCTGATCTGAACACTCTAGGCTTGGTCGCACATACCTGTAATCCTAGCTAATTGGGAAGTTGGGGCAGGAGGATCGTGGTATAGGTAGACTCTGTCAAGAATGCCTACCACTGGGGCCAGCAGGTGGCGTGGTAGTTAAGGCACTGGACTTACACACGGTAGACAGTGGTTCAAGTCCCAGACCTGGTGGCTTGAAAATCACACCGAGCACATGTGCATGTGTACCCAAAATCCCAAGAGGAAAATGAAGGAGAAGGGACTGCAATGTAAGCCACCTCCCCCACCCCGGGGGGTGTGTGATTTCTCACTGTCCCTCTTTCTTTTTCTTGCTATCTCTCTCTGGAGAGTTCACATGTCCTATGACAAAAACAAACAAACAAAAAATTAAAAAGAGAATGTCTGCCCCTGTTTCTCTTCCTTTTCCTCTTTTGCTCTCATTTAAAAAGGAGGAAAATCCACCACCTATCGATATTATTTAAACTGGTTTTAAGAAAAGGCAGGGTTAAGCATTTACATTTCGTCCCAGTCTTTATCTCTTCAACAAAGACCAGTGCATATGAAAGAATTAGAAAGCAATTAGAACCCATCAGGAATTGGCCGTGTATGCAGTAGAGTGATAGAGAATTCACCAAGAGGTATGTGTTGAGCGCCCACCGTGTTTGGCATTACAGAGCAGAGCAACCCCTCCTGGGGTTGCTCGTGACCAGGGAAGAAAGCCATGATATGAAGCCACAGGGCCACTGCATGTGAAGTATAATGACCTGGTAAACTGCGGGGGACAGATGCTCTGGAAGGGTTTGAAAGAAAGAGACGTCCCTGATGGGTAGGGTGGTCTTTTTTCTGAGGCTTAAGCTGGAAGGAAAGGGAAACTGAGACAGAAGAAAGGGTCATGGCAAAAGCACACAAGCTTGAAGAAAAGGTCATGCACAAAAGTACCTAGAAGGTGGTGTGGAGGTTAAGGTGCTGGATTCCCATATGGCTGACTGCAGTTCAAGTCCCAGATCTGGGGGCTTGAAAATAATTCTGGGCACATGTGCGTGTGCACGCATGCCCAAAATCCCAAGAAGAGAATGGAGAAGGGACTAGGGTGTGGCCTTCTCCCCTCTCAGGGAGGGGAGGTGCTTTCTCACTTTCCCTCTCTGTGTTTCTCTCTGTCTCTCCCTGGTGAGGTCACCCTCTGCCAAAACAGATGAACTCACAAGCGACACAAACCAGTTTAAACAGCCCAACTAAACCAGAAGGGGTGCGAATTAGCTGAGAAAGTGGGTAGAGAGGGTACCTAGAGACCGAAAGCCTGCCGAATTTCCATTCTAACTGCGAATACCGGAGTCTACCGGAGTCGGTGGCGGTTTCTATAGGGGGCAGGGCGCGATGGAAGCAGTGTCACTCACCGACCAGCCGCACGGTCACATTTGGGATAGAGAGGGGGGAGAAGAACACGGAGCCAGGGATACAAGTGAGAAACTGCTGATAGGAGCCGAGCTCTGACGGTGGAGGAAATGAAAACAGGGCCAACGTAGCAGACATTGCTGAGGACGACTGGCAGCACTCGGTGACTGACTTCATATTGGGGTGGGGAAAAGGCTATGGCAAAGATTCCAAAGATTTTGGTCCTACGGTCTTCAAGAAGGTCGGTAGCACCGACAGAGGAAGGGGTGGAGAGGAATCTGCTTTTATCCCTGTTAGGCTTGAGGTGACAGTAAGGTAGCTCGCGAAGATATTCAGTGGGCAGTTGCAAACGTGAAAACCGGAGCTCGGCTCTGTATATTTAGGAAGCATGGATTGCTCAGACGAGTCCAGCTAGAGGTTAGGAGACTCTCGGGAAGGTAGGAAGTGAGGTCATCTTCAAGGGGAGAATTGGCAAAGAGAGAGAGAGCGCCTTGGCAGGATGATGACTAGGGCCCTGCGGGTGAAAGGAAAGGGCCTCTGGCCAGGGACACAGTTCCGTGGCTTCCTCCAGCCACGCCTCGCCTTCCCAGGGTTGGACAGAGGTATTAGGGTGGTAGAATGGCACTGGCTGGTGAGGAGGATAAGAGCACCCTGGAGGGGATAAATGGGACCCAGGAGACTCCAGAGAGGGTAGACTAGGGTATGGGAGTGTGGGAGTGAGGGAGATGGTGCGTCGCTATTAGAGACTGGAGCATGCTGAATTGCAAAAGAGGGTGGAAACCACTCTCACGGTGCTAGAGGGGGCAGGCGAGGAAGGGGGGCCAGGCAGGTGCGGTTGTGTTCCCGAGGAGATGTCTGTGGGCCGGAGTTATCTCCCTAATACTGACTTGCCTTGCCTCAACCCCAGGACACCGCCAAGGAAGGCCCTGCCTCCCACCCTCAGGCTCTAGCTAACAGGCCTCTGAGGACGGAAGTCCAGCAGTTGGTGGGGAGAGCAGATTTTGCTCATTGGAACTTGATCTGATCCTCTTGCATGATTGGCTGGAAGCTCTTGATTCGCCTTAGGAATGGTTTTCTACCATTTAAATGCCCTAAACACCAACGGCAAACTGCCCACTGGCTGGCCCCTGCTCTCCACACCTGCCAGGCCCAGCACTGCGGCTCCACTAGGAGAGGACAAGGAATACCCATCAGCCCCTGACGCAGGGTGGTAGGGTGTCCTTTAAGCCTGAAGGGAAGATGGAGTGAAAGAGAGGGGAGAGGTAAGCAAGAAGGGGATTGTCCATTTGGCTTCTAGAGAGACCATGGCCGAATAACTGCCGAGAAGGAGTAAAAGCAGGTCATCTCCCTCCCATCTCTGTCTGGGTTTGGAATGCAAAGACACAGGCAAAGGCAGACACACACACACACACACACACACACACACAGAGTGATGCAGAACAGGGACGCACACACACAGATCGCAGTTAGCAGGCTTAGACACAGGTGAAGGTGCACACCTGTTAGTACACACCTGCTCCTGCTCATCCGGGGGCAGGGCTGCACGCGCCCCGCATGTCCACACAGAGCTCTTTCCTTTCCAAGTCTCCTTTCCATGGAGTACCCTGGTGTGAGCAGAGGCAAGCCCCTCTCTTCCAGGCCTCACCCCTTACCCTTTGTGTTTTTCCAGGTCGTGACATGGCGAGCACTACTCTGCCTGGTTATCCCCCTCACGTGCCCCCCACTGGCCAGGGAAGCTACCCCACCTCCACCCTGGCAGGAATGGTGCCTGGTAGGTGACAATGCTGCAGCTGCCTAATCGAGGTGGGGGGAGCTAAATTGTGAGTGGTCTGTAGCCTGAGGCTGGGGGTGGAGGGAGCCCCAACATCCCCTCCCTGCAAACCACTGCTGTTCTGTCCCCCTCTCTCCCTAGAGACTGCAGTTGGTCCCTCATGCTCCCTCATAAGTGCCCCAGGGAGGAAGCTTGCAGAAGTGCCCCCTTGTGTACACCCCACTCATGCCCCTCCACAGCGCCCACCCACTCCAGCCCGTGCCCGAGGAGCACTCAGCTTCAGCTCCGCCCTCAGTGCCCCAGCCCACCCCAGCCAGCTGACACTGCTTGGAAGAGCTGCCCTGTTTCCATGGAAACTTGGAGCTAAGCACCATTTCCAGGGGCATGTCAGTCACTCAGACAAAGCCACCCTGGTCCACACCAAGCCACAGGGGAAGACCAACCCCACCCCAGAGAGGAGAGAGCTAGTCCCTGAGAGGAACAGAGGACAAGCCATGGCAGGGACCAGAGAGTGGCTCCAGAGATGAGCTAGAGAACGCACATCTCAGGCTGACCAGCCCTCACTGCTCCGCTGGGGCTCTGACTCACGCCCTGTCTGGGAGGAGTTGGGTATGGGTTGAGTGGTCAGAGGCACAGGCCGCATTTGGGATCTGGTGACTGCCACTGACGGTTGTGATAGCCCTGGCCCCTCTGCCCAGATGGGAGGGGACCTGAAGTCAAAGAGAATTGAAGTCCTATTTATATAAACAAAACAAAACAAAACAAAAAAACAGAAAACCACTCTTGTCTTAAAGAGAATGAGACCCACTCGGCCCGCAGCCCACTCCCTCTGGCCACTCCGTTTTCATTGGTGGGGGCAGAAGAGAGGCTAGAAGAGGGTGATTGGCCCATCCATCCAGGAACCACCAGGGCAGTCCTGAATAAGCAGAGCTTGCGGGGCACGGGTGATGGATAGGGGGAGATTGCTGCAGGATGTGACAGAATAGGGGCTGATGGGATTGAGAGGCATGGGTGAAGGTTCCTACCCAGATTTGGGGGGCAGGAAATAGAAGCCTCATTTGAGGGCAAGGAGATTCTTTGGGGGAAGGTCCCAGCCATGAGCAGGTGGAGGTTGGAGGTCTTAGGGGGGAGAGGGGAGAGTGGAGAGAAGAGGGTGGGTAGTCTGCAGGGAGGTGGGGATGAGGGGAGCCGCAGAGAGCTCATGGTGGCAAGGGGGGAGTCGTTAAACAGAATCTAGTGCTGATGAGGAAATTACACTTGTTTCATTAGCGATGGGGAAGGAGATAGCTCAGTTCCTCTTGGTCACAGTTGAGCTCAGAAGCTCATTATCGTGCTGCACGCATGCTTTCCCTCCTCGTCAATAAACAGGCTTTCCAGTGGCTGCATCCCCCACCCCCACCCAGCTCCCTCTCGGAGAGGGGCCCCTTCTCCTCTACTTAACCCGCGGTTAGGGATCACTGTAAACAGTCTGGGGTCATCACACAGGAGAAAGGGCGAGGAGGGAACCCGGAGGCCTGGCCTTTTTCCTGCAGAGGGAGGGAGGCCGCTTCCGAAGGCTCCCAGCCCTGGGCCGCGGACCTGCGGGCCCATCCACCTGCTTCCCGCCGCCTCCTCCCCTTTTCCTGCGGTGGCCCACGTAGCGAAGCTCCCGGGAGAAGAAAGGCGAGAGGGAGTGTTTCCCAGCAGAGCGCTCGCCCTCGCAGTGGCACCGCGCGGAGAAGCCATTCTTAGGACTTTCTGGGACAAAGTGTCCCATGGGCCTTTCTTCGCCACAGTCCCGCTAGCACCCCGTGAGGCTATGGCTCCAAGAACCGTAGTGTCCACTACAACGGCCCTTAGTCCCCAACGGAGCGGGAATGGGCGCACCCAGACCCGGAGGCCTTTCTGTGGGTGGCCCACAGCGCTTCGACCCGGGAGCCCCAGGCGGGCACCTGCCTGCAAGTCCCACCATGTTGGTGCTGGGCACGTAGGTGCTTCCGCCTCTCCTGGGATCTCCCCTAGGGGACTCGGGTTTGCCTGCCTTCTTCTAGCCCTTGGGCGCTTGTAACCCGCCTTTGCTGGTCCCAGACATCCGAGCCGCCCACAGGGATGGGTAGGAAGGGAAGCCGCGGCGGGCTCGTGGGTTCTGTCCTGGCACACGAATGTCTGATCCCCGCTTCCCCACCCCCACAGGCAGCGAATTCTCCGGCAACCCTTACAGTCACCCCCAGTACACCGCCTACAACGAGGCTTGGAGATTCAGCAACCCCGCCTTACTAAGTGAGTACGCCCACTGGCTGCCGGCGGGTGGGGCCCGGCCGCCGCCCTGCTGATTCCGGGCGTGGGCCCCACTCCGCTGACCGACCTCGTGGTGCCGGGCCGGGGGACATGCTCGTTAGCAGCACCGAGGCCGAGGACCCCTGGCCGACGCCGGTGCTTCCTGCCCCTATCGTTCTCCTCCGCCCTCCCGAGTCGCTGGAAAACTTCGGACCCTTTAGGGTTCGCAGCGGGCGTCACCGATTGGGTCCCTCTCCCGCCCAGCCAACCGACTCTCCTCCTGATTACTGACCCCCGGCCCAGCCAAGGTTCCCTCCCAGGTCCCAGCCCCGGGAGGTCTTTTCTTTGCTTTTCTTTCCTTTTTTGTTCTCCTGTTTGTCCTCTCACCCAGCCCATTCTTCTCCTGTGTTAACTTCCAGGTTCCCCTTATTATTATAGTGCCGCCCCCC